CCTGGTTTCAATCATTAAGACTTGTAATTTGAAGTTAGCCAAGTCAGGCCCTCGTATAGTCCGTCACCTGTGGTCGCGCAGGATGGCTGCACATACCAATTCCTATCTCTGATGCGGGTCAAGCCCAGTTTCTCTTGGATTTCGTGCGGCTTCATGGCATCCGGCAGGTCTTGTTTATTGGCAAAAATCAAGATGATGGCGTCCCTCATCTCCCGGTCATTGATGATGCGGTGCAGCTCTTGCCTAGCCTCGTCTATCCGATCCCTGTCGGCACAATCCACCACGAAGATCAACCCCTGGGTCCCTGTATAATAGTGCCGCCACAGGGGCCGGATCTTATCTTGCCCCCCGACATCCCACACGTTGAATTTCACGTTTTATAAGTGACAGTCTCCACATTGAAGCCAACAGTGGGGATGGTGGTAACAGACTGTCCGAGTTTTAGCTTGTAAAGGATCGTAGTCTTCCCGGCGGCATCAAGTCCAAGCATCAATATTCTCATCTCCTTGTTCCCAAAAATTTTCGATAGCATTTTCCCCATCTTGTAAACAGTGCATAAATATCCAGTTAATAGGAGAAAAGTTCTTTACACGCTCGTGCCGCTCTCCTTCGCGTTTCCAAACGTGAAGCCGTTCGCTTAAAAGCAGCAGCTTTAAAAAAAAGATCCAGTGAACAAAAGCGCTGTGCGGATGAAATTAAGCCATGTACCAATGCCCTCTGAATAGCGTATTGATAGGATGGACCATCTGTTTAAAGAGAAACCAGAGAAAACAATCAGCGACTGACTTCTGCGGGCAGAAATCCCGGTGAGTTACGATGAGCTGTCACTTAACGTCCTGTAGGACTTCAGCAGGTATCACCGCAAGTTTATTGTACAGAGGTATCCAGTTATTGGAAATGACTATAAAGAGATTGTGGGAGGTAGCTAGAAAGCAATCTTCACCGGTTTCAACCTCAAATCAATAGCTAACTCTTACTCAGAAAACTGTTTAGTTGGCCAGTTAATTCTTTTGTCAGATACGTTTTGCAGGAACCGCCTGTGAATCTACTCCCCAAAACCGCAGGACCCGTTTTTTTATTTAATTCTTTTGCTGCTTTCCTAAACTTGGAAGCATAAGATAACAGGAGCTCGCCAGAGGAGCCCGAGCAGGGCCCCGCGAAAGCCTGCGCTGCTTCACACCTACTTCCTCCTGGTGTGTCAGCCTTGAGGTCCTCTCCCCCTCGTCCGCCGTCCGCAAACAAAAAAATGCCAGGCGGTTACAACGCAGCTTTTCCAGCGGCTCCTTTGTGTTACTCCACGCCGTCTCTCTCTCTCACACACACTTGGTACGACAAACGTTACAGCCCCGGCCTCTGTAACTCCAAAGGTCATTGATTCATTCGAGGGCTTCCTCGTCTCTTCTGCCTGCAACACAAGAGTGGTTCGCAAAAGGGAGGGGTGTCAAAAGGCACACAACTTTAGGCGCTCCCACCACCACGATCCTCCGCACAACCTTGCAGAATTTCAGCCAGAAGTGTGTCGGGCAGCCCTTACGTTCCCCTCAAACATATCTTGGATTTAAACTGGTATTTATTTTTTTACCTGCGGCAGCTGCGGCCCCCGTTACCCAAGTATATCCAGCCCGCTCCGGTCCCTCTTTTCTCAGTGGCTCGAAGAGCCGCTCCGTGCTACCGGAAAAGGTGTGGACCCGGAGCGCCCGCCACTTCCTGTCGCTCACTCACCAGTTCTGTCTCCTCCCTTTAACTAGCTATCGCGCTCACACTGTGCTAACTGCGAGGGCTTAAAGCAAACGGGTGCCATTTCGGCTCCTGCGTCTACTTTCCGTTATAAATCACACGGATGCCACCGTCTATAATATACTAGATATTGTTGATTAGACAAACTGTCTTCGTCATCGTCGGGCCAAAAGTTAAAAACAACCACTTTCTTTTAATGGCGCCACGATGGCAGGCTTTAAGGGCGGGAGTGCTGATAGCGATTGTTAGCTTTAACGTTAGCATTGACAGCTGGCGTGCGCGCACACGTCACGTCACGTTACGCGAGACGTGGCTCATCGCGACGTAAATGCTTTTTAGTGGACGGCGTGCTTGATTTCGAATAATGCCGCATCACCAAGACCCGCATGTGCAATTGACAGGAGGCTCGTCCTCTCAATGTTCTGGTTTCCTTGTCGAATCTCACGAGGACCCGCCCTCTTGCTATAATAACATCCCTTGGGTAAAAATAGTTTGTGTGTACAGGGTAAGTAGTATTTGGAAGTGTAAGTGTACTAATGTTAAAGATTAATACAATTGTGCTTGAATGGATTTTTAAAAGATCTGCAGTACTTTTAAATACATTCCTTTGCACTTCTTTGATTTTGAGGGATGATTGAATTCAAGCAATTGACTAACATGTAAGATTTTTGTGATCGCCGAATGGAAATACAGTAGTAAAAGTAACATTTTGAATCATTTTATTGCGTCAGAGGAATTCGCAAATATATATTAAACAAAAAAGTAACTAAATATTTTTCTAGATAAATAAACGTTTAAATTGAAGTCTGGACATATTCTAGTGACTTACATATTGTCTCTTCAGGGTAACATTAGTAAAAGTGAATAAAAAATGTTTGAAAAACAACCCGCTATAGGTGCATTAGCCTAATGAATTGTTATATTAATACTGCTAACTTTTTGTATACATTGAATACAATAATGTCTTTTCCACACTGAATTTTTTAAAACAATTCTGTAATTTTATTGGACGACAGAAACACTGAAACGCTTATTACTTTCGCCCTCTTGTGCCAAGACTAAGGATTGCAGCTTAATAGTACAGTACTTCACAGACGACCGAATTTTTCTTGAGAAGGGATAGGCATTTGTAAGGGATATTGGGGGGAAAAAAGTCCTACGTAGTGGTTCACTGTTGTTAGTGTTGAATAAACGCTTTAATGTTGCTGCTGTACAGAGGGAGCCAACAATAACTGCTGCCATTTCCTAAATGGCTCCTGTGTCTTGATCATTGCTACATTTCTGTGTCTGATATCTGCAAATGACAGGGTTGTCCAGGAGACCTTCCTGTCCTCCCACCTCAACAGCATTGCCATGGAAGCCATTTGATTCTCATCAAAGTCCCCGTTCACAATGCCTGCTGGGGAGCACCGGTCCGGCCTCGTGGTCTCAGTCTTGCCTGTGGATGTCGTATGCGGGTTCCTCATGCTCTTTGTTCTTTCACTCTTGGTAATTTCCTTTTGTGGTGGAGGAATTGCATTGTGGGTCAGATTTGGTCGGTCTGCAACAGGGTGTGGAGATGCAGACTGATGGGCTGCACTCAGCCTCCCCAGAGCCCTGCGGTATCGCCTCTGCAGCAGCTCAATCCCCTCCAGGCAGTATTGGCTCTCCAGTTCCAGGCTCCTTATCATGGCTTCATGCTCTTGAGCTTGGTATCTGTGCAGGCCGTCCTTAGCGGTGGATCCTGTCTTCTGCATTTGCATTACATTCATTTGACCTGTATTCTCTTCACATAACTTATACAAGGACCTGTGTGGAGGAAAAAAAAAAGCTATTTCATTATTAATAGCCGAACCTGCACGCTAAACTTCCTTTAAAAACCACCACATACATTGTATGATATTATTTGTAAAATGACCGAGAGGTTAAAAGATTCATGTATGAGCAAAGGTTAAAACTGAATTAGATGTTTTCAAGGCAGAAAAATGACATATAAGTTTGCAAAGAAAGTAGAGACAAAATGTTTCCTTTGGGAGAACAGCAGAAAAGAATATGAAGACATAAAAAGCAACACTCATCAGAAGTTTCTCCAGAACGTACCTTCCAGTGTTAGTCACATCAGAACTGGTGTGAGGTAATGGCCCAGCTGCATATCCACGGAACGTGTTCCTTTAGCATCACAGTATGTCCCGAAAGCCCAAATTATCCTACCCAAGTAGGACAGCGTCTAGAAAATTCTTTGTGCAGAGAGCCAATCCAGTAATTGAACATCCCATAATGAAACTGATACCCATGTGATCTCTTTAACCTTTATTTACAGCACACTAGAATTTCCTAGTGGTTCATTGTGTAACAGGAAACTGATTTAACTTATCTGAGCTGTAATGTTTCTGTCTCAGCAATGGAAGACATGTAGTTCTCATATGTGCTGCATGAACAGGTCATGTGGTGAAATTAATGGACATTTGTGAAAGGACTGGAACAGCACAGGATGCTGATACATGCAAGATACTTGTACAAAAAAAAGGACAATGGCAATCCTTTGGCCATGCAATATTTAAACCAGAGCTCAGATGACTAGTCTTTACATTCATAAGAGAGTATCCGCTGAAAGTGCAGCACTTGTTTTTGCAAAGGAGTGTTTCATTGTTATTAAGTCAGGTAAGTCTTTAAATGTCAATGTATAAATAATTTGCTTGTGTTGAATAACAAATCACATGCAAGGAATAAATTTGACATTGGCTCAAGGCCAAGTATCCATCTATCTTCAGTAATTGTTTGTCCTATTCAGGGTTGTAGGGGGTCTGGAGTCTATGGGGGCAAGGCAGGTAACAACCCAGGATGTAGGTGCCAAGCCACTGCAGGGTGCATTCACGCACACGAGCACACTTTGATAACTAGTGAGCTTCTGCATGTTTTTGGTCTGTGTTTATGGCGGCGCTGGAGGAAGCCCATGGCAACAAGGAGAGAACATGTAAATTCCACAGGCATAAAGCTATGATGGAGACCCGAACGCTGGTCTGCGAGGTGTGAGGCAACAGTGCTAACCACCTTGCCGCCCCTGACCAAGTATTTATAATGCAAAATTTTTATTTGATTATGACAAAGCAAAAATTATACATTTACAGTGCTAGTATTTAAATAACACCTCTTATATTCGATAGATTGTAAAACTCATTTGTCGAAATTCACTTTTACAGACACGAGCTTACTAAGCAACCCGCGTCAGAGTTGCGCAGGCAACTGCGGTCCGGCGGCTGCACCGTAGCAGCGTCCCGCCCCCAAACTGCAAACGTGCTGCACGTGATCGCCGACCGGAGTGCGCCGCTCGATACACCCAGGCTGGGGTCAAAACCCGAAAAAAAGAACGGAAGCGATTGGACAGGGCAAAAACACTTAAACAACAGCATATTAATAACAAATCGCAATCAAACGCACGGGTTCAGGTAGTGTCCTTAACTGGTTTGAGGACAATGAGGAATCCGAAAATACGATGGACAGTAAATTCTACTGCTCGTTGAAATATACTGAAGACTTTAAGCATTTGTTTTCAGAAACCCATGAAGGGACGCATATCGAAAGGTATATTCCGGCTTGCATGTGCTGGATCTGTGCTGTAGTCTAGCTCCGTTTTGTTTGTGCTGGGCAGACATGGTGGTATTTGTAATGACGTATAATGTATTTACTCCGTCTGTCAGTTCGGAGACTTTGCGCAGTTGTTTTCCCCTCTCACTACTTTATTATGGTTGATCGTTGACAGGGTTTAAACACGTTTCCAGTATACTTGTTTTTAAAAATTTGGAAAAGTGCAAGGCAATGACGATGCAAACATTTATCACTGGAAATGTTAGAATAGTGCCTGGCCTCTTAATTGTCTAGGCTGCTAAATGCAAATGTGCTTCTTTGAAATGCTCGCTATCCTTTATTTGTCGCAATTTATAGGGTTTTCTCTTTTATAGCGGCTGCGTAGGTGCATTCCGTGTAATAGTGGCAAGCAGAAATCGTGGCGGACATGTATTGTAGGTAAAAATACGTTTGAAGAATAAAACTGAATGCCACTTTTACCAATTTGAATAAGGGAATCAAACGTGTTTTGCATGTTTTGTGTCAGTTTTGCTACTTGTTGAGACAAGCTGACGTGCAAAGGTGCCCAGAGTCTATTTTGTCATGTGCGACGCCTGTAAACCCCGGCGGTTGAGTTGAAATTGTTGCGTTGCGAGGATGCTATTTTGTCAAATTACATCTGCAATTGCATTGTAGTTTAATGGTATTTTATTCACTTCAATTCAATTTAAATGAATGTTTTGGTTCATCAGGTGAGTTCCTATGAGGTACTGTAGGTCTAACCCAAAATGCTTTCAACGGTTCAACAGAGCGTAATATTATCTTAGATTTTATTTATTTATTTCCTTCCTGATCTGTGGTCTCATCTTCATATTTTCTTTACTCCACAGGACGAAAACACTTTTTGAAGAGATCCGTGCCTCTGTCAACAACAACGAGGAACAGGACCGCTCCTTTTGGAGACCAGTGCTGCCCTGGGGAGGTGTGTACACCATCCGGGCCGGGCGCAATGCCATTTCCTGCACTCCCTTGTACGTGAAGATCAGCCTCAAGAACACCTGTACCATTGATGGCTTTCTCATGCTCCTATATGTCATTCTGCGTGAGAACAAGGCCTTCCCACGTGAGGTGGGGCTCTTTCTGGGTAAGGACTTTGTGGAACATTTCCTGTACCTAATGGACTCCTATGACTACACCACTGTTAAGTTGCTGTGGATCTGGGACAAGATGTCCAAGCAGCAGTACAGGTCGGAGATTCACCGGGCGGCTCTGGAGATCGACCTGTTTGGCAACGAGCATGAGAACTTCACTAAGAACTTGGAGAACCTAATGTCGACCATTCAGGAGAGCTTCTGCACCAACTGGAACTGCCCAGCCCGCTTCCAGGAGTTTGTTCAGACGACCATCAATATCAAGTAAGCTTCAAAACAGGATTACCTCTTGGAACTGCTCTGTAACTTCTTCAGTAATGCTGACTTTCAGTCAGTGCTGGTACGAGTGCAGCTACACTAGGGTGAACCAGATGCTCCATGTCAGGGAGGACATTTTGAGCTGGGAAAGCATTTGTAAACTACCATTTCAGTTAAAAGGACCTGCCTTTCACTTAAGCCCTAAATTCTTGCAGTGTGTTGATTGGTCAGTCTCCTACAATCACATATGTGTCAGTAATGTTAATGTGACACTACTGGATGAATATTTAAATCCAGTAAACGTACTGATCAAAGCACAAGGGGAGCTGAACTATTTAGCTGAGCAGAGCAGCCTTTGTTTTAAAGTAGTTTGTAAAACCTGAAGTAGCTCACAGTCTTCCTCGACATAGACTGTCTGGTCACCCTAAGTTGCATGCCTGGTTTCAGCAAACATAAGGCTGGGGGCTGATTGTATAGCCACTACGGGTCTTTAGTGGAGTCTGACATTTTAGTCGTGATGCGCCACTGAACAGTTAGACCACAGTTCAGCTGGCACAGTTTATTGCCATTCATTGGCACAGTTTTCTTCTCTAGTTACACAGTTAAATTAAAATGAAGCCCAGCTGTCTACTGTTGAGCTCTTGGTATCCAATAAGGAGGTTCTCTTGCCATCCTGGAGCTCAGCCTGGTGCTCCGCTATGCCCTAAAATGAGTCCTGCTGGTGGGGTTGCAGGCTGTGCATACAGAGGGCTCCATGTTAGGCGTTTTGTGTTCCTCTGCTTATATAAACATATAGGCGTCTGCTTACAGGCTTGAGCGACATAGTGGGCTGTAGTGCTTCTGGGTAAATCCCTCTGGGTGTATGACTTGTGTGTACTCGTCCTTTATTTTAGCCCACCACGAGAACAGCCTCACAAAGATCTCATCCAGTCAGCGGTCGACAAATTTTTCTGTCCAAGGATTCTTTTCTGCAATGAACTGGGGTATGTGACGGAAAAAAGGAAGGAGAGGAAAGTCATTATGCAAACAGTTTTCTACCTTCTTATTCAGTACAGCGTCTCGGTGATGTTTCTTTATTCATTTTTGTAATAATGTAAGCCTTGGTGTGACTATCAATATAGCGCAAGCCCTTTCTTTTCTTGCATTTACTTTTTTTCTACACTAGGGGGTAGCATTGTCCTCTAATGCATTTGTACAAAACTATTTTCTTAATAGCTTCCCAGCTCTATGTAAACGGTTTAGATGTGCATTTTTTTCTGCTACATTTCTTCTACTCCTGTCTGCTGCAGGTGTGATGGCCTGAGGGAGTTCTCACAGAGGGTATTCTGCCACGGAGCTCCTCCTTTTGTCATCCTCAACATGCAGCTATGGAAGTCGGAGGAGCTGGCTTGCGTACCGTACCACCTTGACCTCTCTGAGCACAGGTCAGACAGCTGATGGACCAGCTTCGAATGTAATGCTTTTTTTTTTATTTAAGAAAACAGCAGAAATTGGACCTCATGACCCAGACCAAGATAAGTGGTTAGATGTATGGATGAACTGATGGGCGTAACACTGAAGTTAAATACATAACAGTAGACTTGGTGACTCTTTAGAGCCCAAATCCACCTCGCAGATTTATTATTCTATATGTATCCAAATTAGTTGAGCATTTGATAATCAATATTCTGAGCTTAGCGTAAATATTTTTGGAAATGAAATCCATACTAAGGTAGAATATTGTATGCAATTGCATAGGTACTCACTAGAGGGAGCCACACTCTTCAATAAAGAGGAGCATCACTACTCTGCGGCCTTTCAGATCGATGGCTACTGGATGCACTATGATGGGCTGCGCAGCGACAACCTGATTCTGCTGAACAAACCTCCAGAACTACTGCTGCTCTCCTCACTGGTTTATATCCGGATTGATAAGTGAGGGTCTGAGGCCAGAGGCTGGGGGGGGGGGGAGATGCAGCGAATGGGGACGCTTTCCCCCATAAAATCGTTTTTTTTTTTTCCGTTCTACATTTGCACATTTTTTTTCTTCTCACTACAGACAATGACAGTCAACGGTGTGTTGATTTATTTTGAATTTTGCATTTCATCGGATAAAAAAAATGGTTCGGCTGGTCCTGGTGCTGTCGGTTTTTCTGTAGGTGTTTAAATTCCAGGCAGGTGTATTGAGTGAGGAGGGAGTTTTAAATGCTATATTGTCCGTTCCATTTTCTACTTTCTTTCCAGTATTTATAAGATTTTGCCAGACTGCCACTTTGAAAAAGCTACCAGTGCAAAATTCTTTTTTTTTTTCTTCAATTTTTTTAGGGCTTGCTTGGAATCCAAGAAAAATATGGACTATACTAGTTCTGGGATGCCACACAAAAAACTGAGAAATTTCCCGTATGTACTTTGGAAGAAAGTTGTGATTTCCATAGTGGTGCTGAGAACTTCGTCATGGTAAGAAGAGCAGTTTGAGAGTAGTTCTTAATAGTGTAACCCAAGTATTAAAGTAATCACATTGCAGATTCATGTAGATATTTAGGTTGTCCTTTTAAAATTATGTATAGCATTTCCTGTGAGTACGATAAATTCTTTTGCTTTCTTGACCTGTAGCCAGATGAATAAATTGAATTTAAAAATGGGGTAAAAAAGGGCAATGTAAGAGAGGCAGAGTCAGCCATATTATATTTTGAAGTGTATTCACTACTGGGTAGTTATGTGTTTACAGAGGGAGAGGAAGAATTTCCCACCCTGCAGTGCACTCTGCAGGTATGCAGGCATTTGTGCTTTATACATACGTCGACTGGTAGATGCTTTTGAATCTTCCTTTCTTGGCCTCTAGTTAGTTTGACCACAAACAAGCCATGGTTAATTTGCCTGACTTTTCATCATCATAGTGTCGGCTTTCTACAGCAGTCAGCCATTAGAATGCCAATGTTAATTATTTTAATGCATGGGAAGCCCATAACACAGGTGTAATTAATATGTGGCAAATGTAGGCTTATGGAAAAAATACCCATCAGGGGGGATGTTTTTGAGGGAATGGAAGTTTTCTTGAGGCTTCTTGTCTTAAGCGAACAGAACTTTTTGGCAGTGCCAAAGCTAGGAAGATGGAGCAGGATTATCCTGAAGTGCGGAGTTCTCTGTAGAGCTGCTCGGCTATGGAGGGACACTGATGCTTTTCCTAAGGCCTTTTCCCTCTTTGCAGCCTGAAGATGCTCTCTAATACAGAAGTCATTGTGTCTGAACTGAAAACCGAAATGCAGAAAAGTAAGTGGCTGGTAATAGTTAAATCTCTAATGCTGAATGTGTGGTGGATATTAAGGCATAGACTTTGGATTAGAATTCAGGTCTGTTCAGCATTGTGCGTAAAGGTCGGGATGAAAGCCTGTGTTCTGGATGCACCCGCTTTAGTGTCGGCCTGATTTTGCAGTGCATTTTACTACAATATGTCACATTAACCATGAACTTCACTGCCCACTGTTATCAGCCTTTAATATTTAATACCAACAAATGTTTTTGACATTGTTTAAATACCAAATTTTTAAAATCTTGATATGCCAATTTTATTATTCCCCTTTTCCTATCTGACATTGTTGAATAACATTATTTCCTGCTTTCATTGCCATTTCCAAACTATGCAGGCATTTAATACCACATACTGTTTTTTTAAAAGCGAATAAAATATTTTTATACCCAATTGGATTGTCATGCTTGTATGTGCAGCATATTTTTAGCTAATGTATAAACTACTAATAAAAGTAATTAACATTAGTATCCTTGAAACGGAATAAACAATCCATAAATGGGATTTGCATAGGCAATTAAAAGCGGCACATTGTCTCTTATCTGGCTTCATAGCTTCCTTAAAAACCTATGAAGACTTTTCTCACCTTGAACAAAGAGTCTTATAAATAGTTTTAAAAAAGTCCGTACATGGGAACAACGGTGGCAGGGTTACCTTTTTAATGCAGGCATTTATTATTGAACTGGGTACAATCGATCCACACAAATAAAAACAGACTAGTGTGTATGTTCAGTCAGCGTGATTAAACATGGATAAAAAGAAACACTGTTGTAAAATCTACATAATCCGTTAGTCCGAGCAATAATCCACAAATATGATTATCAGATCACTTCCGGCGCAGACACCTGCCTGGGGAATTAGCGAAGGGCCTGGCTGCTAATTTGGTTAGCGGTGACATCCGCCTCGTAGATTTTTTTTTTTCCCCAGTGAAATGACTTTATGAACATAAAGTAAACAGTCCTTCCCACATCTGATATATTTTTCTATCACCAAATTCATCGGTAAAAATGTGCACTTCGGTGATAAAGATGGCAAAACAGGGCTTTAGGTTAAGCCATGATAAATGGGGGTGGGGGGGGGCTGGAAAGATAAAAGAATGTTTGTACACAGCGCTAAACACACTATCACACCTCCCACCATATTTGCAGTTTTACGTTTCCAGGTTCCATGTATAATTAATATTAATATCTCACTTAAGAAGATACACATTATATGTCACTTGGATCAGCACCATCCTCCTCCTGCAGAACAAAGAGTGGATGGTGGATCGGTTTCTGCTAGAATCACCTTGATCATGCACTTTGACACGCTAGCCCAGCAGACCACATCTAAAAGCTAAACCAAGCAAGATTTAGCTAATATGTTTATAAAATGTACTATCTGCCTCGCTTGTGCAACGCTTTGGACAAAAGCATCTACTAAATAAATAAATTATTTTTTTTAAATTATAATCTACAGTGAAAGCTCAAGACTCCATATTTTGTACCAAAAGGAACTAAATGAGACTAAAACCTACAGCAATTTCAAAAAGGTGGAACAAACTCTCACACCCTTCCGAGCTGGCAAATCCTTAAACCTCCAGCAAGTGGTGGACCTCTTCCTGCAGAGCCAGCCAACTTATTGCTGAAGACAAAGACTCAAAGAGATTTTATATCCTTACTTCAGTGGATCATGTTGAGGACTGATGCAAGGTGGCGTTTTAAAGGGACAATATGACACCATGGAAATGTTTCAGTGATTTTCTCCCCAATAAATGGCTTCATGAGCAGAATATCTAAGAATAAGGACAACTAAAGCTCACTGAGCCATACACAAATGAAGAGATGCAAGGACACCATTATATACATAAAGGTATTACAGACAGCTCAGACGATTTCACCTAGCCACATTCAGATAAATGGGTAACGAAAGAAAATCATTACAAAATATTATTGCACTACAGTTGCCATGCCAACACACATGTGATTAAACTCTCAAAATGACAATCCCTTAGTAAAAGATTTTACAATGTGCCAGTGGCAGTTTGGGGGTATTAAAAACATAAATGACAATATAAAAATTGGCTTCAGAAACCCTCAACTTAAAGAATGCCTGAGGACAAAAACAAAATAGCAGCAGTTGTTATTCAACAAGGATGCCTCTACGTTTGGCTAGAATATTGTGTCCAGGGTACCAATTAATTGATATGGTGTGTATCTTCCAGTCTAGGGGCTCCAAGTTTTGAGGGTGCCCTAGATATTGGTCTCTCCTGGGAGCGGATATTCCAGAGGGAATCAGCACAGAAGCATTTACACACCCACAGGTGATTGGCAACCCTCCATGTCACGCGCATGCACTTTTGTGACTGCGTTCCTAGCTGGTGCCCAGAGAAAAGCACTAAACACAAAACATGGATTCTGATTGGCTCGGATCTGTCACATGGAACCCTCGTCTAACAAATGAGAGGACTTGAATGGGGTCGTGATCAATGTAAAGTTACATGAAATTCTCAATTAGCTCCTGCCATCGAAAGACTCCAGTTTCCAATCAGACTTTCACTTCAACGTGCAGCTGTGCTACAAATGGAATCTGTTGCTACACAAACGGCAGAGGCGACTGATGTTTTTTTCCATTAATAATAAAAAAAAAAAAGCGAGAGTGGATAACGGATAAACAGATCTCACACTCCTCTCCCAGACAGACGTACAGATACCACTGCCCTTCGTGGGGCGCCTCGTCCAAAAGACTTATTGCCTTTGACACGACTTTAGCAAAATGCAGGAAATGATCTGACCGACAAGTGTGATGTGGAGCCGGGTTACGCTTCCAGGCGTACTGGCATCGGCGGACAGCGTGGCACATCTTCAGGGTATTCCATGTGCTCTTTTGCTTTGGTCAATATGATTTAGTGATAAATACATATTACCAGGCATCTAACCCTGTTCCTTCCCACCCACACCAGCAGCTACTGTCCAGACTCCAGTAAGAGTGTCCTTGATGGCCTCGGTGCTCGTTTGCCACCAGTTTCCCCCACATGCCCTGTGGGCATTAAAGAGGAGAATCACCACACCGAACACACAGGCCAGACACAGTGCCCCACCAAAGAGGCCACCATGTCACATGAACCCCCTTGTGATTTTTATCCTGGCACCAGGCTTGAGCGTTCAACCTCCCCATGCCCTCCACTGGCAAATCCAAGGGGGGTGGGGTGGATTTGGCACTTCGTCTCTGAGGTGTGCGTGTGATCACTCCCCCCCACCCTCAGTCATGCCCTCTCACTGGCAGTGAAGCTGGTGAACTTGGTGGTGGAGCACGGCGAGGTTTTTTTTGAGAGCGGTCCTACAGGCTGTGCTGCGACGATACACCTTCTCGCTCTGTAATCCGACCCTTGTTTAGAAAGGGGGGCGGG